GTTAAATAAATAATTCTTTTTAAAAAAAAAACTATACAGGTTAAAAAAGAAAAAAAAATCATAGGTTTATGGCAGAATTCTTTCTAAGATTCATCACTTTTTTGAAGACATTTTTTTTAGTTGTCAAAGGGCACATGCACTCCCCAGAGAGAAAGAGAGAAGGAGAAAACACTCTCTAAAAGCATGTGGCCACACCACCATCTTCCTCCTCTCCATCCTGTCAGGACTAGGAGCACACACACGCAGCCAGGGCCAGGATTCATACTGTGGTTAGACACGTGGGTTGGCTCACTTAACCATTAGGCAATGGAGTTGGCCTTGGCCCTCTTAAGGACTATTTCTCCTTTTCTTAATGAAAGAATTATTTTTAATCTTATTTACTCATTCCTTTTTATTTATTTATTTTTTGGACAGCAAGACAGAGAGAGATAGAGAAAATGAAAAAGCAAGCCATCAGGTTTAGGACTTGAACTATGGTTGGCGATATGGGAGTGTCCCTTGCCTTAACCACTATGCCACCTGCTGGCCCTGAAGACTATTTCTAATGAAAACAGAATGGTTCACTTTTTTTTTTTCCAGAATTATTTAACTTTTATTTATTTACTTATTTTTAATTTGACCAGAGAAGGGGAGAAGTGGAGAGAGAGAGAGAGAAAGAGAGAGAGAGAAAGTGAGAAAGCAAGCCGCCAGGTCCAGGGCTTGAATTGCAGGCGACCATGTGGGAGTCCAGTGCCCTTAACCACCAGGCCACCTGCTGGCCCCTATGGTTCACTTTTTAAGACTTTCATGAACCAAGACACAAGGTTGCTAATTTTCCTGTATAGACAAAAAAAACCTAGAATATCATGTTAATAAAATCTCCACTTTCTAACTTGTTTCTACTTGTGAATTTGGTTCTAATTGTGGCTTTCTTACCATCATGAGGCTGTATAACATAATGACTTCCTCCAATATAGTCTGCAGAGATTCCTAGTTGAGAAGCATCTGTTGTAGAACTGTCACCATCCATCTACAATGAAGAAAGTTTTGTCGTTATCTCAAAGTTGTACTAGAAAACACAAATTACATTTTTTCAATTATATTTTTCATGGCCTTAAGCTTACTAAAGGAAAACTTTTTTTTTAATTTGGAAACCTTTTCAACAACTTGCTAATTATTCAAGATTCTCCTATGTTCCGTAAGTGGTAAGCAAAAGACCAACAGGGAAACAAGGCAATGAATCGGAATCATATGCCTCTCTCTTTTCAACCGCGTAATCCTCAAAGACAGTACAGGCAACCCTGATTTACGTTCTGATTTGTCTCCAGAATGACAAACCAGAGTCAGCTTCTACCTGTCACTTTCAGCTCTCCTGCTATGACCTGATATGTCTATGTAGACCCTTTCACTCCTGCTGCATACATTCTTTGCTGTTTCTGATGTTCCAAAGCAGACACTGTCTTGGTTCAAACTATCAGTAGGTATTGTAAGTGTGTGGATTCCCGGAGCAATTCTGTACCCTGTGCCACCCGAAAGTACCTCCCCCATGTAGACAGAGCCCATCATCTTGGAGTCCAGTCAAAGATCAATTTCTCTTCCTTCCACCCCTCAAACTTTCTGATTCTCTTAAGAAAAAGGAGGGAGGCTCTCTATAAACATGGGAAAATTATAACCACAGACAAAAAAAAGTTAAATTCCTTTTCAAGTTTGTTTACTCAATACTGTCATGAGCGGGAGAGAGAGACAGGGACCACCAATGATCCTGCCATGCCATAATCCTCCCCAATGCCTTCAGGGAAACCAGGATCTCAGTGTGTCCTCAGACATGCTGGCGTATGTCCAGGTTGACTCCGATCTGAACCCCAGGCTTTCCCATATGGCTCTTGTATCGCACAGTGGCACCCTACGACCCGTGCTGCTATGGCTGGGCCTGAGATGACTCCTTTAAAATAATCTACTTCATTAATTTTGCTTAGAGATAAAAGAGTTCCAAGAGGGCAAAATCGAGAAAAATGTGAACCATAAGCCCTGAACTGGCTCCATCCCATGTCACCAACATGGCAGATCCTGGAAGGCTTTCTGCTTTGCAAATACTGCTATAAAACAGGAAAGGAGTGAGAAAATTAAAAAATGCATTATCTCAATAAAAAGCAAAGCAAAACTTAAATGGAATTTATACATGATTTCAGGTTAAACAAGGAGACACTTGATCTAAAATTTTATTAGGGCACAGGACCCAGAACAAATTTCATGCTATTATGATTACTTTTTAGCCTTTTATTTTTAATTGCCAGAAGGCATTATACTTGTCAGAGAGGCAAGGGGAAGGGAAAAAGCACACCCTAATGGGGCATGTCACACACAAAGCCTTCGCCTCCATTTCTCCGTCCTGCTGGGATTCTGGGCATGCAGACATACTGCCCAGTGTGTTTTTTAAGCACCAGGGCAGGGATTTGAACTCTAGCTGGCCATGTGGGATCCAGCTTCCTTTAACCTCCAGGCTACAGGGCAGCCAAGTTTAATGTGATTAACTGCAATACTTGAGTCCTTATATAACGCATGTCTTCTTCATCTCTGCTGGGTTTGTATCCGATACTGAAATACTGGCCTAATTCTCAAGTCTTCATTATCATGCATTTCTTTCATGTATCTGTTGACTGTGATGTCTAATGGAACTGCAGATGTAAATGCATTTCCATAATTTATATAGTTGTTTGTAAGGAAGTAAAAAATATAATACATAGGGGACCAGCAGTTGGCATAATGGCTATGTCACTGGACTCCCATATAGTCGACTGGGGTTCGAGTCCCGGGCCTAGTTGCTTAAACTCATGCCAGGTGCATGTGCGCCAGGTGCATGCCCAAGATCCTGAGAGGAGAATGGAGGAGAAGGGATTGTGGCGTGGCCATCCCCCCTGGAGGGGGATTTCTCACTTTCTGTCTCTCTGTCTCTCTCTTTCTGGCGAGCACATGCCCTATAGCAAAAACTGCTCCAAAATGTTTTTTAATAAATAAATAAACAAGTAAAAATACATAAACAAGGAGTCTTTAGACAATTCACAGAAAGTATTTTTTATGAAAAAACTATGCATGGATTTTCAATTTTTTTTTTTTGCACCAAAATAAACACGCACTTTGATTCCATCTTCCTTCAAAGTTTCGCAAGTCCCCTCGTCTATTTAAAAATCTATGAAGGCGAAGGACACCTATTTACTTTTAGTGGCCTCTGGCAGTAAACGACAAAGGTGGTGAGCTGACTCTAACCTACCACTGAGCCTCTGTATTTCTGTACAAAATGGAAATAATACTGTTTTCCCATCTTTAACTAGTACAAATTAATGTGAAACATTGCCCAAATATAAAGTGCTATGCTGAGCCTATAATGTTAATACAATATTAAGATATTAAGCCTTTTATTTATTTATTAAGTTTTGCTATAGGGCGTGTATACTTGCCAGACAGAGAGAGAGAGAGAGAGAAAGTGAAAAATCAGCCCCCCGGGTGATGGCCACGCAGCAATCCCTTCTCCACCAGTCTCCTCTAAGGTTTTGGACACAAATGCACATGTGCCCAGTGTGATTTTCAGACCACCAGGTTAGGAACTTGAACTGCAGTCAGCCATGTGGATCAAGGGCCTTAATCTCCCTGCCACCTGCAAGCCCCATACTAGGAGAGTAGTCTTCAATGAACATGGCTTGATTAGCCATGAAAGAATGGCTAATTAGGTCAGCTGTGAGTTGACTGGTTTTTACAATGACCTAAAGTACAAGAGACAGGACCAAAGTAGTTGTTTCAGAATATTTTAAAACTAGCAGCAAATCTTTTTGGGGGAAGAAGAAAGGGAACATTAACAAATTCTTGGCTGAAATGAAGTCCATGGGATATCAAAAGCCTCTTACAATTAGCTGATGAACAGAACACTGTTTCCCAGGTGGGTCTGGGAGATAAATTAACATAAGTACATCGGGACCAGCAGTTGGCATAATGGCTATGTCACTGGACTCCCATGTAGTTGACCACAGTTTGAGTCCCAGAACCGGTGGCTTAAACTCACGCTGGGTGTATGTTTGTGCGTGTCCAAGATCCCGAAAGGAGAATGGAAGAGAAGGGATTGTGGCGTGGCCATCCCTCCAAGGGGTGATTTCTCACTTTCTGTCTCTCTCTGTCTTTCTGGTGAATGTACGCATCCTATAGCAAAAACCTCTCAAAAAAAAAAAAAAAAAGAAAAAGAAAAAGAAAAAAGAATATAAATATATGAAAGTATTAAATGCAAAAAGTTTAAATTGTATTATCATGCCATATACTAGAATTGGTGGCAAAATAATCATTTGGATTAATCACATTAGCCTCTATAAATCTCAAGTCTTCTAAAATGAAGATGAAAGTATTCTACAGAGGGGCCAGCAGGTGGCATGGTGGTTTAGGCACTGTACTCCCACATGGCTGACCATAGTTCAAGTTCCAGACCTGGCAGGTTGCTTTTTCACTTCCCCTCTTCCTCTCTCTGGTGAGTACATGTGCCCTATAGCAAAATTTAAAAATAAATTAAATAAATAATAAAATTAAGTAAACAATTTCTTTTTTAAAAAAGAAGAAAGTATTCCACAGGGTTGACAGTACCGAATCAGGCTCGAGAACCGCTCAGGACAGCGTCAGGCCCGAAGTGTACCACAGACAGAGAAGCTCGTCCTCCCTCCCGTGACAGGAAGCTGGACACTGTCTGCTGAACTGTATGTGTCTTTGGATTTTGTACCTCTGTCTTCCTCTCCTCTATCTTTCTACCAATAAATTCCTACCCTAGACTTTAATGCCAGAGTTCCTTTATCCTCTCGGAATCTGATTTATCCCACTCTGCAAATCTAAAAACCAGCGTTCCCTTCTTTGAAGCCCCATGTCCTTAGTACATCTGATTCACCACGTCAGTCTCATAAGTTTGATGCTTACAAATGTGTTAGCCGTTCTCCCGTAACTAAGGAACAGTGGAATACACTGGCTAGCTATATCCCAAAGGTTTTTTTCCTAGGTCTAAAACCTCCTATCAAAATTGACAAAACGGATCACAGATCGTGCCAGCCAACAAATATTTACCGAGTGAGCACTGGGTATTTATCAGGTCCATGCTGTGTGCTGGGCTTGCAGCAGCCAACAACACAGATGAGGTCTCTGTCCTGTCTTGTAGAGAAGACAAGCGTTACGTAACCTAGGGGGAGGGGTGGGCAGGTGGAGAGGACACAGCCTATTGGTGCTTGCAGGACACAGGTTGTAGAATCAAATCCCCTGGGCTGAATTCCCTGCTAGGTACAGGCCATGAGACCTTGAGCAAGTTGGAGGAGAATGGAATTTAACCCCACAGAGCTCTGCACAGGGTAGAAGATATCCGCATAAAGACTTAGTACAATAGTACAATAAATGTTTCATGTAGTTATTAAATAATTACAAATAATTAACTAATTGCTAGTGCCAGTGTTAAGAAAAACCAAGATGTTTTGTACTACATGAGTTTATTCCAAAGGAACCTCACTAGTCTGGGGGTCAAGGAAGATTGCCTTAGGAAATGACATTTAAACTGAAACTGAAAGATGAAGAGATGGCCAAGCCCAGGTAGTGCAGTCAGCAGCTTACTGAACTGGAACCCACATGGCCAATTTGGGGTTCAGATCCCAGGCAGCTCAGGCAATCTGACACTCAGGTACACACATGTGCCCAAGATCCTGACGAGCCAGAGGGCTTGTGGGGAGAGGATTGTGGCATGACCTGACACTGTCAAGGGCCTCTCTCTCACACACATGCATGCACACACTCTCTATCATGAGTAAAAATAAAAATGAAAAGAAAGATAAACAGAAATCAATTGGTCAAAGGAAGGTGGGAAGAGAATGTTCCAGGCTGGGGTGGTCGAGAAGCACAGCACTGCTGAGCTGGTCCACGTTAAGTAGGGCCTGGATTAAGCAGTGCCTTATGGGCAGCAGCAAATCAGTTTTAGGCAGAAGAGTGCAAATCAGATTTCCTTTTTAGAAGGTCACTGTGCTACGTCCAGTACAGAAAATGACCTAGAGGGGAGAAGAACAAGGGCAGAAGCCTAGGGAGGACTGTAATGCTGCAGTTAGGATGCAGGTGCAGGCAAGAGGATGCTTACTTCTAGCTCCTGGTCCAGGGTGACAGCACTGCTGGGGGTCAAGAGAAGGAGGTCACCTAGGAGCTTCTCAGTGGGTAAAACCAGCAGGACTTCAGAATTTGATAGACTGGACTAGAGGGTGGACCGCGGATAAAGCTTGGGAATCTCACGGCTGGAGAGGCAGAAGGCTGTCACTAAGAGAATGGGAAAGGGACCACACAGAAGTGTGGGACACTGAGGAGCCTCACCGAAGCTAGGGGGACATATGGACGCTGACACTGATAGGCCCAGCTGTGACACTTACAGGCCTGATGGAAGAAGAGAGAAACAGAAGTGCTGGATTCCATCAAGGTATTGAAGAGGGAAGAGCATGGAGGACAATGACAAGAGAATGAATGGGTAAAATGATGAGTCACGGGAACTGATAAATGTATAGTCATTCAATCAATTTTAATGACTATTCTAATTATTTAGTTGAACTGATAATACTGTTCTCTAAAACATACGGAATAAAGATCAGCTGGCAAACCTAATAAATTTCTGTTCTATTTTTCATGTAGTAGTACTTAAACTGTGCCAATAATTTGTTACACAAGTACTGTAAATATTACCCTCTTTAATATGGTTAGGCTTGAGGACCAGCAGGTGGCATGGTGGCTAAGGCACTGGACACTCCCACATGGCCAATCAGGGTTCAAGTCCTGGACCTGGTGGCTTGCTTTCTCACTTTCTCTCTCTCTCTGTGTGTCTCTCTCTGGTCAAATTAAAAATGAATAAATAAATAAACTGAAATAATCTTTAAAAAAAATATGGTTAGGCTTACTGAAGTTTCTAAATATCTAATGCAGTATTTACGACCCTGTGAGGCAGGTGAGAAAACAGAGGTATCTGAGATGAACGAATTGCCCAAGGTATCGGAGGAGGCGGGATTAAATCCAGAGACTCCACACTGCGTGCGTATTTGACGATACTCATTCTTCTCAATGAATCCTATAGTCCTTAAGCCGAACTCTTTACTTGCCCCCTCCGAATTCTAAGTCTACTTAGTACTATATGTATAGAAAACATTTGAAGTAGCTTCTCAGAAAGGACAGTATTTGTGATGTGGCTAAGAACTGCCCTGCAGGCAGTGGCTAGGCGCATGGCTCTTAGGAAAGACCATCTGGGTTTGAAGTTTGCCTCTCCATTTACTAGCTGTGTCTTTGAAAAAGCAACTTAACACCTTCTTGTGTTTTGGCGTCCTCTTTTTATAAAGGGGTTGTTGCTATGAGAAACTATCATATAAGAAGCACTTAGCAAAGTACCTAAGACACAGTAAGAACCAATAAACATGGCCTCGTGTCACTGTCCCTTCCAATATGGAGCTCAAGGTGCTTTCAGGAAGACTTGCCTCTCTGGAAATGCACTCCTTTACTTGTTCTCCAGATCACATTCCTTTGATCTCTTTGAGGGTACGTATACGAGGATCCCTCCTCTCTAACAAGGATCCCTCCTCTCTAACGTACCGTCCAACCTCCTTGCCGGTTTCTTCACCCTTCCTTAAACATACTTAGTCTCCCTCATTAAACACATAGGCACCTGAACTCGGCTCATGCCCTATCCTGCTGTCACCTCACCCTGACACGTGGCCTCACACACCTCTTCACTCCTGTTCAGGCTCTCTGACGTGCTTTCCAACCCCACACAATACTGAAAGCACTTACACACTGCCAGTGCCCTTGTCTCCATCCTGCTGGACTATTCTTCATGGCCACTGCCGGTCCCCAGTCTATACCTGGAAGTCTCTTCTTCCTTGATGGCCCCCTTTATTTGCTCCTCCCTGCCTCCTAATTGTTAATTTTTCCACGGACATCATTTTTCTTCTTCTCTTAACAAACTCACCAAATGTGCATAATTCTGGTGTTCATCAATCCCAAATCTACGACTAATATCCTGCCTGCCTCTTTAGCATCCGTGGCTGTAGAACACGCCTGACACCCCATCATGCAAACTCGAGATACTGAGAAATGGAACACACCTTCCCATATCCCCTCAACAGGGGCAAGAACGGACGTCTCCTTTCCAAGGATGGCAACTCTATTAATACCATCCCTCCACTCCTCCAGGTCAAATAAACTGCATCGCCTTAGGTTTCTCCATCTCTGCCAAGCTCCATCTACTCTGTTACCTCTGAAGACACTGGTCTCACTATGGCGTAGTTATCCTGCTCAGCATCCCCAGTAGCGGGATCACAGGCATGCGTCGTGTCCAGCTGTTTAGGGTGGGCTGGGAAGTGAACCAAGCTCTTCCATGTTGCCTCAGCCTGCCAAGCAGCAGTCAACTCCGGTGATATAGGAGGGGGGTCTGTTATCTCTTTAAAACGTCTCCTAGATATGCCAGTCCTTTTCTATTTCTACTGGATTACTATACAACTCACGTTAACATATTGTTTAAGATCAATCCATACAACACTGCTTCTATAGCTCTTCGGCCTATTCCTAAAGGTTCCTGAAAGTCTCCTGCAACAAGTCCAACCCTCATTTTCATGGCTTTACATGAGAGCATCTTCTACTGGACCTAACTAGTTTTCTACTCTTCTCTGTCTTCAGGGCTAATATACATCTCAGTGTCAGAATGTGCCTTATTGAGGGAACACCAAATGCAGATCTTTCATTTTAGGAGCGAGGCAACCAAGGCTCAAAGACAATAGGACATGTTCAAGATTACATATACAGCAGCAGATCCTAACTACGCATGTGGCCAAGTGGCATCTCTGTAGGACCTTCGCCTGTGAATCTCAGACCACACACATCTCCTCACCCACTAAACACAAGTTACTCATTCCCACCTGCTGGCTTTTCTGCTTTTTGTGCTACTCTTTACCGAACCAAATAACCCCCATGCTCCAAAGCCCAGCTGGAGGCCTACAGGCTCCCTCCGTGACATTCCCACCTACCCAGGCCCACTCCACCTCTTTCCACTTGTGCTGCACATAAGATCCAGCATTTTCCACTCAGCACTGAACTGTCCTCTAAGCATTCATCTGGACTAGAGTCGTACCAGCTAAGCAGACAGCTGGGACTGCCTTTGTCCCCTGGAGCCTGGACAGCATTTAGGGGGCCACAGGGACAACATGTGCTAGTAAGTGAAGACAAGGTAGCCAGAGAAAGGAACAGAAGCTCTGCCTGTCTAGACTTGGAAGGCATTCGTTCTATCAGGAAACTCCAGTATATGTTAACATGAATTTTATTTCCAGCCAATTACTGTTCCAATCTAACAAGCAAAATGGTGAAACATACTTACTGTCATGAAATGCTGGTACAACCGCGTTGTCAGTGGTGCTCAAGAACAGCGTGTCTAAAAAGGTGTCTAATCTTTGCCCGATGTCAACCTGAAAAGGAAACCACCTATTAGTAGCACAAACGAATACCCTACAAGGTTTCCTTCTACTCAAATTAAAGAGCACACACATAATGTTGTCTACTCTTCTTAGCCCGTGAAGTGCATGGTATAAAAAGCAGGCACCGATGAGTATTTGTTAAATTGAAAGATTTATTCTTTACAAAAAAGTTCAGTCCATTGAAGGTAGAGGATACTGCTTTTCCAACATAACCCTCAATTTAGTCGTGTTCATTATAAATATTCATCACAGTACACTAAAAGGGGACCAAATTATGTGCAAGATACTAAAGACTACACATCTAAACTACTTAAAATATTAGTATCCAAATACAAACACCTCATTCATCAACTTAGTTTTTTGTTGAGGGTTTTCTTAATGTTTTAGAGTGAAATTTAGGTGTTCAAAAGCTCAAAAGTGGGAAACATTTTTCTCAGAACAAAATGCTTTTAAATTAAGTACTCAGATTATGCTAGAAAGAAGAGACATGCTGCCCAGAGAACATACAAAAATAAATAAATAAAATATAAAAAAAAAACACAATCAGGACACTTATTTATAATTTTGAAGCACACCATTTTGTACTAAAATTGCATCCGAATAGCACTTCAATCTCACTGTAAGGCATAAACAGCTGAATAAATTAGTATCAATTACACTGTTACAACCTTTATTTCTCATTTGCACTTTTCCTTTTTTTCCCTCCAATGGAACAATTAAATGGGGGAGGGGACACAAAACGCATCTTCTCAATGTTAATTTTAAAGGGAGGAAAAACTACTGGCATGCATTCAAGCATGAAATCTAGTAAATAGCAGAAAAAATTATAGCCACTGAATTGAATTTTTTAAATGCCATTAAAAGGGTCCAGGCAGTAAAGTCTGCCTGACATCTGCTATGATCTTAAAAGTAATTCCGAATTTCTTTTCAAATAGTGTCCCTCTTTCTAAGCCATAGCTGCCTGGAAAAATTCCTTCCTTGTGGCTAGAAATGTTATTTTTCTGAAGAGTGTCTTTGGAAAAAAAAAATCCTGAGAACACTTAAAATATAGGATATGTATTTTACTTGAAATGGGGGGGTGGGGTGGGATGGGAGCCACCACTTCATTCACCCAAATAGTTGATTCAGTATATTAAAAACACTGTCACCTCATATGGTATATATTTTAAGGGTGGGTTATGATATATGTAAAGTCTCAAGGAAATGCATACATCTGTTTAATGTTTGAAGAAATGCAAATCTGTATCCAAGAAAAGCTCTAGTCCCTTCCTCCACCCTCCATTCTCTGGCATCAACAACCAGAGTTTTGCATCAATATAATCTTTAAACTACAAGAGCAGTGCAGGGAGGGAATAATTGCCTTTGAAGGAATTCTGGTTCAACTTTCAATACTCTACAAAGAATCCCCCTGTTTATTAATGCCACCGACACTGACCAGTGTACTCATCATTTTCGGTTGCTCATTAGTTTCCATCCTAGGCGCTGAAATCACTCCAGCGGTTTGTGGCACGAATCATGGAACTATGGAGACCATGCAGGTTCGTGGGATGCCATTTTTTTTAAAGGTCGCATGCTACCTAACCCTGTTTTAATTATCTTGTTAGAGGACTTTGGGCAAGATTATGACTGAGGGTGCTCTGTAATTCTTTGTTCTCGGAGACTATGTTCCTTAAGGCCCTGCATATCCTCCCGCCTTCCACCGCCGCTGATTAAAACCTTAGTCCAATCCGAAAGGCTTCCTTTCCACCTTCGGGGCAAGTCCAAGGACCGCAAGCCGCCAGATGGCTGCATTCTTTACGTGCACACCAGACTGCGGGAAACCAAAGCCATTCCTTCCTCCCAGGGACCCGCTTCCTCCCCACGCAGGTGCCGGGGTGACCCGGCTCCACGATCGGGTCCCGCCGACCTGTCAGTCCCG